AGAGGCCGTGTCATGCAGGCTGCTCAGTCACGGGATGTTCCACCTTCATGGAGCAGTTGTGCCGTCTGTTCTGTCGTCGGCCATCCTTTCTCCCTCATCCCCTATCTATTCTCTCATTGGCATCCTTTCTCCCTCATCTTCCATCCCTCGTTGGGGTCCCCGTCCCTCCTCTCCCGTCCGTCTGTCGTCGGGGTCCCTGTCCCTCCTCTCCCGTCCGTCTGTCGTCGGGGTCCCCGTCCCTCCTTTCCCATGTGTTCTGTTGTGGGGCGTCCCGCTCCCTCCCATGTGTTCTGTTGTGGGGCGCCCTCTGTCCCTCCTCTCCCGTCTGTCTGTCGTCGGGGTCCCCGTCCCTCCTCTCCCGCCCATCTGTCCTGTGCATCCACGGGCACCCCCTTCCCTTTCCTCGGGTGCCTTTAGATGGTGGCCATGTAGTTCCATCCTGTGCCCCTCTGCTCCCTCCCTCATGACACAAATGCCACTCGTGGACATGTCTGAAATGCTGCCCACACCTCTTTCTTGAGGGGGTTCCCACATTCCTGAATGCTCTGGCTCTCCCCTTGCAGGGCACAAACCCCATGGCCACGGTCAGCAGCCCTGACTTGGAGAAGGCCTACCTGGCATACTGCACTCCAGGCACCAATGCCCAGGCGGCCACTCTGAAGTTCAAGGCTGGAAAGCACGAGTACCAGTTAGATTTCAAAGGTATTTCAGAGTCCTGCCGGGTCCCTGGGAGTCCTGCCAGGTCCCTGGGAGTCCTGCCGGGTCCCTGGGAGTCCTGGGGTGTGCACATGGTTTAATGCGCTCCGCTGCTCACTGGAAGGTCAGAGGTTTGAACCCACCTAGAGGAGCTTCCCAAGAAAGCCCTGGAGATCCCCTTCCAAGCAGTCAGCTGTGGAAGCTGCGGGGCACATTCTGCCGTGACCACATGGGGTCTCCGTGAGCGGGAACCGAGTGGACGGCAGCTGGTGCCAGGCTGTCGGGAAGGTCACATCAGCCCCAGGCCCTCCCAGCTCCCTGTCCGAGGAAGGGTGGAGAGTAACGTACACTTAGGCAGTCTGTGTGCACCAAATAACTTTTAATGTCACCAATGAAAGCCGTGGGCGATTTATCACAATGTTAGTCAGCAGGCTGGTATGAACCTATCTACGTCCACTGATTAGCACAGGATGATGGGAGGAGACAGGAACAACAGGAGAGGTGGGTGGGAGAAGTCATGGTGGCTGTACCGGGATTACAGGCTGTTGATTGGGAAAAACATGGTGGAGGCCCCCGAAGAGCGTTCCTGGTGAACACCCAGGCCCCCACATAACCTCAAGATCCCTACTGAGGCCACTGCATAACCCCAAGACCCCCACGTAGGCTCCCACATGACCTCAAGACCTCCACAAGGGCCCCCCACACTTAGGCTCAAGTAGGAGGTGATAGACCTCATGACAGTGGTTTATACGTGAGTGTTTTAAAATAAAGTTGTTTTTGTAATTTAAGTGCAGAAAGTAAAGCTTGACAGGTTCTCTGGTAGGTACTGGTGATTTTCACCTTGGGGCACGCAGTCACCCCTCTTAGTCCTCAGAATGAGTATTCAGAGCTGGGGCGGGCTCAGACAGGTAAGAAACCCTGGTCTGGCCCAAACTGCAGAATAGTCCTGGATTAAAACCACACTCACGCCAAGTCCCACTAACTCAGGATATGGTGGTGGGGCCTTAGGCTGTGCTGGTCATTATATCCAAGGAGGGAAAAATGGTTTAACCAAATAATAGTTTAAACCAGATCCGAAGGAATAGCTGAAAAGTGCTCATGTATAATTGATATGTCAATCACTAATCGTTGATGTGTTCATTAAACCCAGGCTCCCAGGGGTCCCTGTTCTCTTCGTGAATGTTTGAAATGTGGAAAACTGCCTTATTTTTAATGGACTGATGCTGGGCTTTACACATTTAGATGAGTTTTCCAGCCCATTTAATTTGTGTTTATAAAATATTTTTCCTGCATGTGGATGTGTGTGTATGTATATTTGGAATTGGCTGAGTTTTTTTTTTTCCCCAGCCTTTGTTCAGAAAAACCTGCACTACAGCACCGTCAGGAAGATTTGCCGGAGACCCAAATACGTGTCCCCCCAGGACGTGAAGATGAAGCAAACCTGGTAGGTGCATGTGGGGCGCTTGCTCCTTGGCGTGAGCTCAGTTAGGGTGTGTTCGGCTGCAGGTACCAGGAGACGGCCCTCCGAGTGGTAAAGCACGAAGGGGCTGATTGACGTGTAACTCGACGCTTGGGGTTGTTGCTGGCTCCGCGGTGGAGCCCTCGCCGTCCAGCTGGGAGACCTGGGTGCGATTCCCAGCCAGTGTGCCCATGTGTCAGTAGAGGCTTGTGCACTGCTGTGGTGAGGCCCTCATTTCAGCAGGGCTTCTACACGTAAGACCAGGAGCAAAGGCCTGGTGAACCATTTCCTCCAGTCAGCCAGTGCAAACCCTGTGGGTCACAGTGGTGTCACCCACAGCCGACCCTGAGGGTGGCGCAGGACTGGGGTCCCATTGTGCACGGGTGGCCGAGAGTCATGGCTGACTCGGTGACAGCTGACACGGCAACTACAGCGCCGCACGTGGCGCTCTGTGTCTCGGCGTTTTCTCTGCTCAGCCCTTCACTGTGTATTTGGGGTTTTCTTCACTCAGTCCCAAAGCTTGCTCAGTGATTTTTCAACTGTGCCGTTTTCCTAGGAGAGTCATTTGTGGGGGGCTTAGGATGAAGGTGTGTGTCTCACCCCAGCAGAACCTCAAGGTCGAGCTGCTGTAGGAAGAGTGGAGCATTTTGAAGGGGACTTAATTGGGTTTCACTGTCTTTGTTCCTAAACCCTTTCGGCCACGGGTCTTCTAGGACTTGGTTTTTATTTAGTGGTTTACTTTTAGTTTTGGAAAGATAGTGGATCATGTAATCCTTTGTAATTAAATGCGTTAATATTTTAGGCATAAAAATACACAGTGATAGTAAGAAGGGTGAACACAGACCACGAACAGCCCCTCACAGTTCAGGTCTGCTCCTACTCGAGTTATGATGTCAGCTTGGTTTTGAACTGACGTACCATACGCCAGTTACACCTCCATGATGCTGTTTTGTTTTTTCAGTTTTCAGAGTGTTGCTAGGTCTATATCCTAGAGAAATAAGAGTCATGACATGAACAGATAGACACACACCCGTGTTCACCACAGCACTCTCCACAATAGCGAAAGACACAAACACCCTAAACGCCCATCAGCAGAGGAATGGATTAACAGACCGTGGCCCACACACACAGCGGAGGACTATGCCATGTTAAAGAGCAATGATGAACCTGCGAGACATCTCATAACATGGATGAACTTAGGGACCGTTAACGCTGAGTGCACTTGGTCAATCAGATAGGACAAACAGTGTATGAGAAAACTATCGTAAAAAGTCAGGAAAAGGTTTAACACAAAAAGAAATCTTTGACAGTTTCCAGGGTAGAGGTGGGGGCTAAACCACTAACTAGAGGGTAGACACAGACTAACTTGGATGAATGAAGGAAAAGTGTTTTTTTTTTTAAAGTTAAGATAGGTGTAAAGAGAAATAAGCTGTCTGGTTAATGTAGAGGCAGTGAGGAATGAGGTTGCTATAACCCATACTTACATGCTGGGGAACAGCTAAGGCCAGTCTTTGCTTTGGAACCCTGTTGAAAGCATGCAGAGTTCTGGGTTTCACAGTCGTGGGTGACAGTTTGTGGGCCTGTGTGCTGTTTGAATCATACCTGTATCCCTTCTAAGCCAAGTCTGGGTACAGGCGAGGACTCTCCTGCCACTCACTTTGGGTTTGACAGAGAGGCAAAGGTAAGAGGATTGTCACGGGGTGGATTCTGTGCGTGGTGTCCGCCTCCTGCCAGCTCCTGATCGGTGTGGCAGGACTCGGGACTGGTGGAGCCGGCTAACGGGGCCTGCAGTGGATTCGTTCCCATCTCAGAGCAAAACGCCTGAGTGTGTTTTGTTGACCTTTTGCAGCAATGCCAAGTTTCAAGGCCCAAGGAGCATCCCAGACCACTGGGACCCCTCTGCGCTGCCAGACCTGGGATTTAAGGTACGGAGTTGAGTCCTTGGGTGGGTGGTGTGGACAGTTAATGCGCTTTTCCACTAACTGGAAGGTTAGCAGCTGGAGGCCACCCAGAGGTGCCCGGGAGGGAAGGCCTGGTGATTCTACTTCTGAAAAAGCAGCCGCTGGAAACCCCGTGGAGCACAGTTCTACCCTGACACGCACGGGGTGACCAGGAGTCAGGGCTGACCTGACAGTAGCTGGGTGGGTGGTTGGGTGGGGCTGGGAGCACCATGCTGGGTAGGAGCAGGTGACGGGAACCAATCACGGCTGCTTCCTCTACCTGAAGAGGCTGGAAGGCTGTGGCTGATGGAGGAGGCTGGGTTGGTTTTCAGGTGTGGGGTCTCGAGGCTGGGTGTGGCCCTGTGGGGACGGGATGCGTGAGGAGGGAGGTGAACAGGCTGGGACGTCTGCTAGGAAGAGCAGAATGAGAACATAAGAGCCGGGCTCAGTAAACAGACCTCAGTGTACTCAGCAGGGAAGGGGAGTAACCATGGGAGGAGGCCAGTGTGACGGAGCAGTCGGGTTGACTGCTGATGGGAGGAGGTACTGGAAGCCTGGAGAATGGACAGTCTGTCCAGCAGCTCATTCAAGGCCTGCAGTCTGATGGCTGCTGCAGTGGGCACTCCGGACACTCAGCCGATGTCTGATGGCACCCACATACCAACCATGGACAGTTCAGACACCCAGTGGTGCCTGGGTACTGATGGTACGACACTCGGCTGGCACTGACGCCGGTCTGTGTACTGACTGTGGACAGTTAGATGCCCTGACGGTGCCTGTGTATTGATGGTGTGACACTTGGCTGATGTCTGATGGCACCCGTGTACCAACCATGCACACTTCACACACCCAGTGGTGCCTGGGTACTACTGGTGTGGCACTGACGCCGGTCTGTGTACTGACTGTGGTGATTCACACGCTCACCGGAGCTTGTGTACTTTGCTGACACCCAGTGACACCCGTGTACTGACCACAGGTAGTTCACATACTGGACAGGATGCCTGTACCAACATTGAGGCACTTGCCTGATGCCTGGCCTCCTGCCCAGCGTGTGTAACAGGCTTTACAGGGCGGCCCTCCTTGTCCTTGGGGGGCTGACCTCACTGACTCTATGCAGAGAGCACAGGGTGCCCGTGTGCTAGCTCGGGGTGTGCTCTCAGACAGCATGCTGGGTGTCGGGACAGGCAGCTTGTCAAGGGCAGCGTTGGATCGACCCTGAACAGTCTAGTTGGGTTTCGGGCAGCGGGAGGTGAGGGCCGGGTGGTGATGTCTTGCTCTGCAGGCTGTTGGGGAAGGGCCCGGGGCTCTGCCCTGCTAACCACGTGTCCGTGTCCACCCCTCAGAGGGTCGCCCTCAGCCCGTCCTCGGACGAGTACCAGAAGGTCTGTGAGCTCTTCAGCCGCACGGTAACCTTCATCATTGAGAAGATTGAGCGCGTGCAGAACCTGGCCCTCTGGGAAGTCTACCAGTGGTGCGTGGGGCTGGCGCTCCCTGGGCTGGTGGAGGTCAGTGGGAGAGAGGGCTGCTGTGTGCTGGGGCCCCTCTTCCTGCCCTCTCTGTGTGGCACAGAGCCCTGGACAGAGGGGCCTGAAGATCACCAGGGCCTAAAAAGCATCCTGTTCATAGCTGGTGACAAAGCCAGGCCTCCCTGGAGACCAGTGGGTGGGTCAGCATGGCCCACCTGCACCCTCAGCCCCAGGAAGCCATGGCTGCTGTCTGACCCATGGCGAGCACGAACCTCACTTGTGTCTAAGGACCGGCAGGCCCCTTGTGCGTGTGGGGAGACACCATGGTAGCCACCCTGAAGGCGGGGGCCTGGCCTGTCCCCACAGTGGGGTTGGGCAGTGGTGGAGGCATTAGGTTCTGCTCCTGTTGCCCAACCTTCTCACTCTCCCCCACCCCCTACTTCCTGACAACAGCAGGAACTGGGCCCGTCCTCCATGGGCTGGTCTGCTGCTGGGGGGCCCAGAGGCTCTGACCGTGAAGGGAGAGGTTTCCCTTCTGTTTCTGGCTCTGTCCCTGCCGTGCGGGTGTGAAGCGAGCTGTCTGTCCTGGACGGCCAGGACCCCACGGCTGTGGCCCCGCCCCCGTGCCCCCTGCACCCTCTTGCTGTGGTGGTGGAGGGAGACGCCGCCCGCTCCAGTGGTCTCTTCTCTGGGGCTCCAGGCAGAAGTCTCAGATGCAGAAGAAGCAAGGAGGCACAGCCGTGGACGAGAGACAGCTTTTCCACGGCACCAGCGCCTGCTTCGTCGACGCCATCTGCCAGCAGAACTTTGACTGGCGCATCTGTGGGCTTCACGGTACCTCTTACGGCAAAGGTGAGGGTCAGCAGCCTGGAGCCCGCAGGGACCACCACCCACCAGGGACCGCCATGCACAGCAGTGGGGGCCTGTGGGAGCTCCACCCCCAACTTGGAGAAGACAGTCCCCTGGTGGGCGGCACCGTTGCTTCTCCGATCCCGGTTTCAAGTGGTGACCTGGCTGGGCTGGAGCTCAGCCTCCCAGTGAAGCTAGGCAGTGGCGAGTGAAGTCCCAAGTGGACAGGGGACCCTTCCAGTGTTGAATGGCACCTTCCCAGAGCAATTGGAGTCAAACCATCAGACACACTTGCTCTCACTGTAACAGGGCTTAGCTAAGGGAGTTCCTGCCTTTCAGTTGCTCTAAAACTTTATTTGAAAATAATTTCACACTTGTAGAAGAGTTGCAAGAATAACGCGAAAACCTCCTGCATAAATTCTACCCAGATTTGCCAGTTTTAATACGTTGACACCTTTGCTTTGTCATACTTTTTTTTCTGAACCACGTGAAAGGTGAAATTAGCATCCCTTTACCCTCTGCTTGTGTTGTGGCTTCCAAATGTAGAAATGGAATTATGGTGCATTTAACTTGCTATCCCCACTCCTGCTTTACCAGTTAGCCACCCACTATGGTGGTGGCTGTGGGCCAGAATGGATGTGAGTCCACATTGTGGGGCCAGCGTCCGGCTCTGCTCCCTGATTGGCAAGGTTACTTCCACTGGGCACTGGGTCTAATGATTCTATATATGGCATCTTGTCACTTTCGACGGAGTGTGTGGCGGGTGCAGGCAGTTAACACGGGCGGCTGCTCCTGGAAATGTGGCGCCCACCCAGGTGCCTCAGAAGGAAGGCCTGGTTACCTGCTTCAGAGAAATGAGCCACCGCAAACCCTGCGGGGCCCAGTTCCACTCTGATGCACGTGGGGTCACCCTGAGTTGAAATTGACCCCATGGCAGCTGGTGTCCGCATCTTATCCACCCATGAGGTTGAGTGTAACAGCTGCATTCCACAGCTGAGCAACCCGAGGTCCAGGGTTTCGGCAGTGACATGCCTGTAGTTCTGGAGTGACGGGTGCGGTTTTCTCTCAGGGCTGGGGACCCCATACGTGCTCTGGCACACGCACACAGTGTCCTGGACGTTGACCTGCCTCCCTGCGAGTCTTAGGAGGGACCCATGGCGAAGATGGTGATGGGGAGGAAGGGAGGCGACAGCCCGTGGGGTGGAGCCCCGTCTTGGCCTGAGCCCCCATATTTTTCCAGGAAGCTACTTTGCCCGTGATGCTGCGTACTCCCACCACTACAGCGAGGCCTCCGCACAGTCCCACATGATGTTCCTGGCTCGGGTGCTGGTGGGCGAGTTCGTGCGTGGCTCTTCTACCTTTGTCCGCCCTCCGGCCAAGGAGGGCCAGAGTTCTGTCTTCTACGACAGCTGCGTGAACAGCATGTCCAACCCATCCATCTTTGTGGTCTTTGAGAAGCACCAGGTCTACCCTGAGTACCTCATCCAGTACACGACCAGTGCCAGGCCTGCAACCGCGGCCAAGGCCACCATGGCCACAGCCCCTGCCTTGGCCATGGCCCCTATCAGGGCCCAGCCACTCGGGAACCTCTGGGGGTGGTTCAGCCGCTGAGACCTTGTTTTCTCATGTGGGTGGTTGGGGATGTGCTGTGGGGTTTTGATTTCATTTAATAGAAAAGCTTTGAATTGTTCGCTGTTGGCTTCTTGGCGAAGCCACGTTCTTAACCCCTTGGTGACGGGAGTTTTTAAGTGCCTCCGTCTGGGTTCCTCAGCAGCCTTGCCAGTGGGCCCATGCTTGTTGGTGAGCCTTTTGCTTTTTAATGATTGTTTTAAAATGTTGTTTTACTCTCTTTGTTGACTTGACTGCTTATGGGCACCAGGTACAGATTTCTAGAAAGGGTTTTATGGATTAGTTTTAACTTCTAGGGTTTTCTGTCTCTGCCCTCACCCTGGGCCTTGTGGCATCTGTTCAGCTTTTTGTAGGAAGACAGTTGCCACTGGACTCTGAGGACCTGACGAGGCGGGGGGCACGGTCCCGGCTGCTCCCTGCTCAGGCTAACCTGGCCGCCTCTCCTGGGCCTCAGAACTGGCCTGCATCGCATTGTCCAAATGAGTGGCTGCAGTGTGGTAACCTCGAGTCCTCCTGCTGGCTCTGTCACTTCCAGGAAGCATGCCTGCCTGGCAGGTGACATGGATCAGTGGTGGCCCTGGGGAGCCCTACCAGGTTGTGTGTGCCCCACATCTTCTGAGCACACTGGCTACCTTGAAAGTGGGCTCTGTGGCCCCGGGAGACTGGAATCCCTGTGCTGCACGTGTCACAGAGAACACGGAAATAAAAGATTTACCTGTGCAGGTGGCAGCCACGCTCATTCTTTGCGTGTATTTACTGAGTATCTGCTGCGTACAGCACTTTCTGGGTGGTCATGCTGTAATAGAGCCACCGTCAGATTCGGGAGGCTGTGTGTGGTGAGACTACTTGTGAAACGTTAAGCTATAGGCCCCTTACTTGTGGGAGTCCCTCCCAAGGCCCCCAGAGGAACCCAAGCCATCTTCTCTCTATTCCCCACATTGTCTAAGTCTCCAGCCCGGATCCAGCCCAGGGTACAGTGTGTCATGAGAGTAGGAAGGTAGGGTTCTCTGGGGTATGTCCTCCACACCTTGCGGTCTGTGGGGGCTTCCTTGGGGGAGCCCATGGGGGAAGGCCCAGGCAGCAGAGGCCACGATTTCCACAGTGGACACGCCCAGACGCCCTCAAGTTTCTAAGGATAAGTGGGCATCAGGTTCTGAGTTTCCCACAGTGGCTCACAGGCCCCTACTGTCATTGTTTCCTGTGTGGCACCCAGCCCCTCCTCTGAGCTGCTCACCTGTTAAACAGAGGAGGGGATCTTTGGCCTTGGTCAGCCTCCATGTTTTACAGATGGGGAAACCGAGGCACAGGGCAGCAAAAAGACCAGTGGCCACCACCCCTCGGCTGCTGGCGGCAGAGCTGGGGTCCTGCAGAAGGTGTGCCGAGTGGCTGCTCAGCACCATGGTGACTTTCAGTCCAATTGAGCTCTGATCAAAATAAAGACCGAGATAATGCTCTTTCAAAGAAGACCACGCTTGTTGGCCTAGGCCGTCTTCCGCACGTTGAACCTGGGTCTCAGGTTGGTGTTAGCCAACCTCTGAGAAGCAATGTGTTAAACGCTTAGAATAGTTTCTGAAGTTGGCCTCAGGGTACACGTCATTCTCTGAGGATGAGCTGAGAAAGCCACGGGTTGGTGTCCCTGTGTTCCCCTGTGGGTTGGTGTCCCCGTGTCCCCCCATGGCTGCTGTCCCCTTGCCCCCCCTCCCCATAAGGAGCCTTGAGTTGCCAGCAGTTTTGTCTAATTCACTTATTTATAGAAATTGCTTATTCAGGGAGTTGGGTCAGTGGTTCAAACTCAGCTGACAAAGTCAGTGCCAAGTGCAGCAGCAAACATTTATTAAGCAATTGGGGAAGGGCGTGTGGACCCCCTGGGTTCCTTCATTCTGCACCAGGCACCCTTACCCCCACTGGGTGGTGGGGCCCATATGTGGGAATTTTTACACGCATTTTCCTTGGAGTCTGGGGGTATCATCCTCGTAGGCTGACTGCGGGTCTGGGGGTACCGTCCTCATGAACCGCCCTGAGCGAGGAAGGCCTTCCTGGTCAGCGGGGTACGATCTTGATGTGAACACCATCTTTGGGAGCTAGTGCAGATTTGGATTCCAGCTGCAGTGGTACCTGAAATAGAGGAGATTCAAGTGCTTGAAGACCAGCAGTGCACATGGGACAGTTTCTTAGAACCAGGCCTTGAGCAGGGGCAGCCAGGCTATAGGGGGGCCAGGAAACCTCCCCAGTTGGAGCTCAGTTCCCTGGAAAGCCACCAGAGCAGCCCTGTCATACACAGGCATTGGGATGGCCGCTGGTCTCGTCCCCAGGCTCCGACCTGGCCTCTGTGTTGATGCCGCGTGGGGGGTGACGGCATTGGGCCACTGTCCTCTCACAGCAGCCCTGCATCCCAGGAAGGAGTGTCTCTGCACATGACGTGGAGGCTCAGAGCGGCAGCACCTGGCCAGGCTCACGCCACGGCCCGGGCAGCGAAGCCCCATCCCCCTTTCAGCTGCACTGACATCCCTGCCTTCCTGCTATGTCTCCTCCCAACGCCTGGCCTGTCCCTTGGCAGGGGCTGTTCTTCCTGAGGGCTCGGGGAGCATGGCACCGTGGGGTCCCTGCTGGTGTGTGTGAGGTCCTCTTCGTGAGAGGTCTGGGAGTGGGGTGTTGTGGGTCCCTGCCCATGGCCAAATTCTTAATTCATTTCATTATTAATAAATTGTACTTCATTAAAATGAATACATTTTATGAAAATTAGATTTTGAGTAGCCACCTGTGGCTGTGCAGACCACTTTGAAATACCATCGGAGTTCTCTAAGAGAAGTGGTCAGAGTGGCTGGCAAGTCAGGGAAGACTTCCTGGAGGAAGTGGCAAGGGGGTGGGGCTGACTGAGAGAATCCAGTGAGCCTCTTGAAGATTCAGACAATGTGATCAGACTTGGGGAGGTGTTTCTGGGGGATAAGGGTCGATGTGGGAGCCACCTGGGCGGGCAGGCAAGGACCTCGTGGCATGCCCCAGTAGGGACTAGAAGGGCATGGACCAGGCTGGTGTTCAGGCTTCTTGCTGCTCCAAGTGGACAGGGGCCAAGCTGGGCAGGGCCAGGCAGGAGCAGTTTAGGGGCAGGGCCTGTGTGCAGACTAGGGGGAAGGAGGCAAGCCCGCAGGGACGTCTTTGCCTGGACTTCCCTTCTGGGATCTCTGCTGTCACCTGCCTCGTTGGCCCCGCCCCTTTGCAGCCTGACTCCCAGGCCCCGTAGAGGGAAGTCTTCCTCCATCTCCAGCACCCAGCCCAGCGACTGTCCTGGCTTCTCGGTGTGTCAGAGGCCTTGCCCTCCATGAGCCTAGAGCCAGGGGGACCATCTGTGCTCGGGCTATGTGTGCTCTCCGCCCGCTGTCCAGGCCTGCATGTGCAGGATGCGGGAGGCAGAGGGCAGGGGTGGGGCAGCATGGGCTGCGAACCCAGTGTCTTCCCTGTGCACACTCCCACTTGTTCGTTCATTAATGTTGAACGAGTCAAGGACGTTGGACCCGCACAGCCTGCAGGGCGCCCATCCAAGTGGGACCTCCCGTAGGCTCTTGTCACCTCTCTGAGCCCTGGCTCTGCACCTGGAACGAGGGTGACAGGCCTACTCCACAAGATGGTGCCGAGGGGTGTGCACCCCAGCTTGCAAGACGGTTCCTGGGCCCGAGGAGGGAGTATGGGGACCTGGCCAGGAAAGTCGTGGCCCTACTTCAGGGCGCACCTCATGCCTGGGTGACAGAGGTGTGATCTCAGTGCCTCAGGGACAGACCGGGCCCTGGGGGATGGGAGGAGAGTGGGCACGCTCCTGCGCCCTCGCCAGTCAGTGACCTGTCCGTGACCTCCACGCAGAGGCCGCAGCCCGGGGGCGTGTCCTGCGGGCGGCGCTGCACGGCTGGCCACACCCCGTGGGCTCTGGGCTCGCTGCGCCAGGGCCCGACGCACTCCAGACACGGCGCCCTCCTCTCAGCGCTCAGTGGGCGCACCCTGGCGGCCTACGTGTACACGCCTGCGTGAACGCCAGTCCTCCCACGTCACGGAGGTGTGGGGTGTCCTTATCACCCCTTTGACAGATGATGAGGCGGGTGGCGTGGCGCAGAGAACTGGGGTGACCCTCCAGCCCCTCAAAGCGGGTGTATCCAGGGACAGTTGTCCGGAAGCAGCCCTCATGCTGGGCCCCCCGAGCGGGCCTCACCTGGGTCTCCGCGCAGGCCTGGAACCGGAACTGGTGCAGCACACGCAGCAGCGTCAGCTTGACCTCCAGCAGCCCGAGGTGCACCCCGAGGCAGCTCCGCGGGCCCGCCCCGAAGGGCAGGTAGGTGAAGGGCCGCTGCCGCCGTCGGTTCTCGGCCGTGAACCTGCGGGTCGGGCACACCGGGGTTGGCTGGGCACTTGCCTCAGGCCCGCGTCCTGTGGTTTACCCATCCCAGCCGCCGGCCTTTCCTCCAAGTCAGCGCTCAGGCCAGGTGCTTGCAGCCGTGCGCCCTATTTCCCCAGGGCTCCCTCACCTTGGCCTGCACTGCCCCAGCCGCTGTGCAAAGCCTGTGGGCCTTGAGGTGTGAGGACTCCCTGGAATGCCCCGCACCCCTGTGAGCTCAGCCCTGTGTTATTGTCCAGGGCTCATGGACCGCCCCAGTCAGGGTCTGGACCCCAGGCCTTGCCCTCCCGGCAGAGAGGACACCACCAGCAGCCCTTCCAAGCGAAGCAGCTCAGCCCCTCATGTCCAGGCTGCCAAACACACACAGCTGGACCCCTGGGCAGGTGTGTGTCTGAACAGAGGCCTCCCAACTGCGGTCTCCACTCCCCTGTAACAGTATATGGCGTTGTGCCCTTGGACCCAGCTGTGAGTCTGCGCTCTACCTGCAGCCTGGACCGGCCCTGCGTCATCCTGCTCTGTGGGGGTGTGGTGTGGGATCTGGATGGGAAAATGGCGGGGCCTGCTGCGGTAGGACCCCACTGTCTGGGTGACAGCATGCTGTCAGGTGGTCTCGGACTGCGAGCACGGTGGCAGCCACTCTATTACGAAGTAGCGCCCACTTCTCCCAACTTAGGACTTTTCTGGGCCCAGGAGTCCTCGAATCATCTTCTCAGCTAACAAAAATGTGGTTTTTGTTTGAAAAAGGAGGCTGCCGTGTGGCTGTGACACACCACTGTGGCATTTCCTGGTCTTGCCTGCACTCCCAGTAGCTCATGGTGTAGGTCTGTTTGCCACAGTTTTCAGGGGCCGGGTGTTGAGTTGGGCAGCATTTCACAGAAGCTGGCAGTGCCTAAGACATCTGCTAACCAGAAGGTTGGTGGTTCAAACCCACCAGCCACTCTGCGGAAGCAAGACCAGGCAATCTACTTCTGTAAAAATTTACCACCTCGGAAACCCAAAAGGGGTCGCTATGAGTCAGAGTCGATTCAAAGGCAGTGGGTTTGGTTTTGGTTTGGTTTACGGCCACTGCTGGTGGGCACCTAGCTTCTGCCTGGCCAGCACTGTCCCCGCCAGATCACAGGGGCAGGGTGCCTTGGTGGGCTCTGATAAGGAGGGGTGTGGGTGCCTGCTCAGACAGGTTCAACTGGGAGCCTAGAAATAAAACTTAGAGGTGGATCCAATTACCAAATCCATGTTTGGCCACTGCAGGGAGGAGGATACGGGCAAGGTTTGCCATCTTAGTGGGGCCAAATCTCCCTAATTCAGATTCAAGGGGTGGAGAAGTTCAACTGATACTGTTATTGTAGAAAGGCTCCCTGGTGGCACAGTGGTTAAGTGCTTGACTAGTTACATCGTGTGTTAACTTGGCTGGGCCTGGTTTTGAGTGTCTGGGCAGCTGGATGTAGTTATTCCCATGGTGAGACTGGTAATCAACTCTTTGATGGAATCTACTGTGAGCAGCTGAGTAGCTGCCTTAGGGATGTGGTCTGTTTTTACTGTATAAGAATTCAGCTTTGAGAAAGGTCTCTAGCTTTTGGCACATGGGGATCCTGCGTTTGGCTGCGTCTTCGTCTCAATGGCCTGCCACATTGTCTGCCAATCTTAGGATCGGACTTGAACCGTGGCCTGCCTGTGTGGTTTGATAATCTTGGGACTGTGCCATTTTACTTGTCCACCTTGGGTTTGTCAGCCTCAGCAGCCAGCAGCTGTCTGAGTTAAATGACTCCTCCGGCTTCAGTGGGCCAGGAGCAGGAGGCAGAGCTGAAGCCCAGCGTCTTTACCCAGCCCCTGGAGCTGGCACTTTGAGCTCAGACTTCTAGCCTCCTGCACTGTGACAGAATAAATTCCTGCTTATTGAAGCCATCCATTTGTGGCATTGTCTCTCAGGACCCAGACAACTGCTAACCAAGAGGTGGCTGGTTTGACCCACCAGCCGCTCCAAGGGAGGTGAGACCTGGTGATCTGCTCCCATAAAGAGGACAGCCTTGGAAACCCGAGGGGACAGTTCCACTCTGTCCTGCAGGATCACTAGGAGTTGGTATCGGCTTGATGGCACACAACAATTGGTCTAGAATACTGGCCACTTTTTAAACAGGAGGTGGTGGTTTGTTACCTTCCGGGCATGCCCAGTGAACAAGGCGTCCTGGCTTGAACAAGAAGATCAGCATTTGAGATGGCCATCACTTACATGCTGGGTTGGGTTGGGGTTGGAGGCTTTTTAAATGGAGTAATGATTTGCTTTGGAAACTAGGCCTTGCAGACATCTGACTCGTACGATTTCTGACCGTTACGGGGTGCCTGTGCTACAGTGTGTGTCAGTCAGTAAACCCAGCTCCTGATTTCCAGCAAGACGCATCTGGTGGTGCCTCCTGGCTGTGACGGCACCTCGGTCCCAGCCCATGACACTGTTCCTGCCAGCCTTGGGCCCCAGGGCCACTTGTGGGGTGCTCACCTCTCGGGGTTGAAGACCTCAGGCTCTGGCCAGTGCTCGGGGTCGTGGTGCAGGGCGCCCACAGCTGTTTCCAACACAGCGCCCGCGGGGATGCGCTGCCCCAGGATTTCGCAGTCCCTCGCCGCCTCCCGTGTGAACCTGCCGGGAGATACTGGTGTGGAGGATGCGGACAGGGCCTGGGATGGGGGGTGGGGGATGGTGGGCCGGGGCGCCAACCTTTTACTTTGGACCTTCTGCACCATGTAGTCCCTGGGTGGCACTTATGGTTAAGCCTACACTCCAAACCAAAAACCAGACTCACTGCCACCAAGTCCATTCTGACTCATAGCAACCCCCATTGGGCTTCCGAGGCAACATCACTACAGAAATAGATTGCCCAACTTTCCTTCCGAGAAGCAGCTGGTGGGTTTGAACCGCCAGCCTTCTGGTTAGCAGTCGAATGCCTTAGGCACTATGCCACCCTAATTGCAAAAGTTGGTTTGAACCCACCTGGAGGTGCCTCGGAAGAAAGCCTTGGTGAACTGCTTTCAGAAGCTCAGAGCCTTGGAACCGCTTACAGACATGGGTTGCCAAGAGGCAGAGTCAACTCGATTAGTATTAGTATTGTGTCAATATTTTTTAATTACCTTTTTTTGTAATATAAATATTACTTTAAAAATTAAAAATAATCCATGCTGACTTTAACTTCCAGTTGCAGGACCAGGGTTCTTCCCTAAGTCTCATAGAGGGATATGGATAGGCCCTAACCACTGTTGTACCCTGTACAAGACAGCAGCCCAGGCTTCTGGCAGTATCAGTCTGCAGGGGTCTCTGATGCACCAGTCAGGGTGGTGGGAGCAGGGCTGTGGAACCCGTTAGGATGTGATGAACCTATGCTTGGAGCTGGAACTAATGCCGGTGCTGGGAGGGGAAGTGGCTGGAGGACCTGCCCTTTTGTCTGTATTGGACATGGACCTGGATAGGCCCTGGGGCCACCTCCAGAGACCAGGCCCTGCCTTCGGCCAGAGGCTGGGTCCCAGTGAGTTGTACGACACTACAGAGAAGCCAGGGCAGTCAGAGTGACATTCAAACAAGAACTGTCACTGCCTCCTTGACAGTGTCACGGCCAGTGCTTGGGAGGGGCCAGCCCACTTCACAGTAAAATAAAGGGA